ATATTATCTGACTATAGAAGAAATTAAGGCTGTTTGGGAACAATGTACTCAGAAATTACTTTCAAGATTGTCTGCCATTATAAAAATGGATCTAGCAGAGGCTACAGGAGAGGAACAGATTTTACTGGACAAAATAGAGACTGAGGCTGATTTGGATGTGGATTTGAAAATGGATTTTTAAAAAATGCCAGACTTCGTGATATGAAAAAAGATGCTGTGGATTTGAAAACAGATTTAAAAATGACAGACTACAAGAGTGATTTGGAAACAGATGCCACAATGGGTTTACAAATGAAACTGGCTGCTATCTTAACAATTAAAGGGGACATACAAATAATAAATCAGAAGAGTGACTGAGATAGCCTTCTTATCTTTGATTTACAAAAGGGACATGCTAAACTACTGAAGCTGTTTCTCCCAAGGAGCCCCCAGGCAGCAGGGTGAATGTGGGCCCTGGGCAGGTGAGTGGCCACTTGCCTGGCTGTGCTCATGCTGGGCCGTAGCACCCACTCCCCACCCTCCATAGCACTCACCCACCCGCTGGCCTGCTTGTAAGCCACCTAAGGAATGGCTTGTCATGACCATGGCTTGCAACTTCTTGCTGGCTTCCCCATTGACTTTGCTTGTTGGAAACCAGCAGGAAGTTGCAAGTTGTGGTCCTGTGAGGTCCTTGCTTAACGATCCACGATCCTCGCTTAACCGTGGCAATGGGGACTGCTGGGATTGCCATTAGTAAGTCATGTGGTGTTGTGCTTTGCGACATCGTTTAGTGATGCAAATCCTGGTCCCAATTACTGTCATTAAGTGAGGACTATCTGTAATGATTACTCCTATGGATCCGAGCACCCCATCCATATCTTCAAGGTAAACAAGGGAGAACTGATCCTACAAAATTGGATAACCTGATGTTCCTGACTCCTCCCTATCTCAATTAATGATGTCTTTAATCTGTTTGCAGATATCAGAAGCTCTGAGAAAAAAAATTGCAAAATCATCAGTTTGATGAGCCGTGAGAAGATCTTCCACAGCCCTTATGGGCTGTGTCAGCCTCTGCACCACCTGGAACAGCTCTGATGGCTGATCCAGTGCAGATGCAATGACTGAGGGAAAATACTTCTTTTTCTCCACCCTGCAAGGCACAGAGTATGCATTACAATGGTCTACATGGCATGCAGATACTATACCTCCTTCTCTCCCATCCCAATTAGTTTTGTGGAATATAGCTGGCTGGGCCCCTAGGCTGGGTGACCCTGCTGTTTCTTGTATTTTAGAACTTGGTTTGACATGGTTTTCCTGCAAGAAACTTGGGAATAAAATTGGTGACCTTAAAGGAGTTTGCATCTCTCTTGCTTCCTGCATCCCTTAGGAGTAGAGGTGGCCTCAGCACCCTAGTTGGCTTTAATCTACTTTCAGTAGTTCTTGACCTAACGTTTTGTCATTTCATTGTAGCTACCACTCTGGATTGCAGAGTCAGTGATCAAAGTTTCTTCTTAAATAATGAGCGTTCATCTCCTTTCTCTCAGGTTGCATTAACAACTAAATGGCATGTGGTATCGATTTGAGGACTGTCTTCTGGAGACACTCTCCAAGTTCTCTGATACTTTGATACTTTGAACTGATACTGGATGGTAATATCCTGATGGATACGGATGATGCCTCTTTCATCCCACTAGATTACCCCAGTTTCACTCCTGCCACTTCAAAGGTAAGGAATCAATAAACGCCCAAAGTCATTGAGAGTTGGGTGGCATGCAAGTTGAATACATTAAATTATTAATAATGGGGGAAAGAGACCATCCCAATCAACTGATAAATTTAACTTAATGGTTTAAATGGTTTGGTGTCAATTGATTTCTCCAAGAGAATGTATTCTGGTGTTCCAGGTTGCTCTGCAGCTGGAGGTGCCCACTTCCCCTTCACTGGGTTCTTTTCTCTGACCAACAAGCTCAGCAAAATGGGGACTCCAATGCTCCAGCAAGCAGCGCCCAGATCAGATGGGGAGGGATGTTTGCTGAATTCCCCCAATGCGCTGCTCCTTAAACACTGGCATGAAGAATCCAGCAAAAAGTATATAGTTGCAAGGTTGCCAGGAGAGGCAATGAGAACTATTTAGATTAATTAGATGCATATCCTGCCTTCATTGTACAACTCAAGGCAGTGTACCTAATGCTCTTGCCTCCTATTTTCCTCACAAAATTCCTGAGAGGTGGGTTGCCCTGAGAGAGAGCAACTGGCCCAAAGTCACCCAGCCAGTTTCTGTGCCTATGGGAGGGCTAGAACTCAGTTTCTAGTCCAGCACCTTCACTTCTCCACCAAACCAGCTCTTTTTGATATTTATAACTGTCAGCTCTTTGGGGCAGACCAGATCAGGAAACAGACTCCACAGGAAGACTAGAACTCTACTTTATTGAGATGGGCCACAATAACAGAACCTGGCAAGTCAGTCTGTGTCTTCCCTTCTCTCCCTCTTATACCCCAGGATTTGAGGGGTGGTGATGGTTGGTCTGAGTCTCTTCATAACCCTTTTCTGACTCTCTGGATGTAATGCCTGTCTCTTCTGCACCTGGCCTTTCCCTCACGGCTTCTGGATCCCTTCTCCAAGGCCATCTCCCTGCCTCCCTACAATATCAAGCATTTTACATCAGGAGAAAAAAGTCTACAAGATCATCCTGGAAAGGAAGACATTAGAAAAGCAAAGAGCAGAGTGGGATGAGTGGAGAGATGCTCTCAGCACAAAATCCTGCCCTGCCAAGGCAGTTCTGATACAGGAAATTGGATTTCACCTGAAGACTGGGCAATGAGATGAATTGCGTTTAGGTACTTTTGCGTATCAAACTTCCCTGGCCCACTGCCTGAGCAGTCCCCAGGAATCACCTCTGAAATTGCCAACCTTTTTATTCAGTTAAAAAACAGAAAAGCTGCTGGGCGATCAAATCTCTCCCAACAGATGCCCAATGGTGGGCACCCCTTTGAAGGCAAGTGGGAGGGCTTAGAAACTGAAGTAATTGATCAATAAAGTTTAGTCCCCTTATTTACACGTAGAGACCAAGGGATGCAGGTGCCAAAAGACTGGAGTCCTCCATAACTAACCCACATCTTTAAAAAAAGAGAAGTCTTCCCCCTCCAACTATATCCCATAAGCTTACTAGGCATCATCGTAGCAAAGGAGATGCTAGGCACATGCCATACCAAGCTCCTTCAACAGAAGGTTTCAGCAGTGGAACAACCTGGCTGCTCAACTTCTGACTTGTGCATCATTTCATACTATCTTGCTGAAAACTTGCTTAGTTGTGAGGGTCTCTTCCTGCTACCTTCCTCGATTTGAAGGCAATCGTTGATACAATCCCAAGAGGAAGGCTGTGGAGGAAACTAGTGATGACCTTGACTGATTGCTGCTTGCTCCAATCAGTCAAAGCTGTGCAATCCAAATTTATGAGAACCATTCTCCATTTATTCTTTGTTTATACCTAATTCCCCACTGAGCCTTGAATTTAGGATTTCCTTCCATAACTGTCCAGGTAAGATACTGTCCACTTAAAATACTAGCTGAATCTAAACAATGGAAGTGATTCATTGGTCTAGCTTATTTTTATAAATTTAATTCCTCATGGGAAAAAAACCCTCACCATTTTATTTTTCTCTCTGTAGCTTCTGAAGTCAAGTGTTAAGAATGATGGGTTGGAGAGAACTATCTGTGAGGCCAAACCATCTGTCCTGACAGTGGACAGATCTAAAGTTCCAAATTCTGCTTGGTACATTTATCACTTTCCCTTTGCTATTCTTTTTAAGATGCTTTCCCCCACGAAAAGCTTGGTGAATGACGGCTCCATCACCTCCCTTATCTAGATCACCATCGCATGAGCTCAGATACAGCCTTGGAAACAACAGGCCTTCACTGAAAGCTTTGACGCCACAGTGAATTGTCCCATCAGCAAATTCCACTGGATCCAGAAGCCTTCCCTCCCCCCCTC